AAACCTTATTTTCAATAAGCAATCCTGAAAAATATTTGGGGGTGCTTAACTTTTTTCCAGGTGTATACATACGTCTGTCATGTTGTGTTTAAATTTATACAGTGACATCATAAAAAGTAATCGACTAACACGAAAAGAAACCAAAACACGAGTGTTATAGCATTGCAGACATTTTGGGAGATCGATAAAATAAAGCCATACTAACGTTAAGCTTCGTATTGACAGAAAAAGGAAAAAGAGTGTACTAAATTAAGTCCGTGATTACGATCTATCCTCCAATAACGTTATAATTAACAATTTAATTTTCCAATCCTTTATAATCATAGCTTGAGATAAATGGATATAACAAGACATTTCAAAAATAAACTCGTGAATAGCCTGAAGCAATGAGAACTCATAAACTCGGACGTACTAACTAACTAACTAGTCTTCTGCTAAGAAAAACATCTACAATTCTGGTTTGCTAATCACTGTAACAAGATAAAGAAAACTGAACAATGGTATTAAAAGGAAGACCGAGTCGAATCCAAAAACATATACTTAATTAGCTTTAACAGTTTTCTGGGACATTGCTTACATTTTTATGGACATGGACTATAGAGCCAGAGGGTTAAAATCTACAAGATCATCTAGCTAAGAGTTAAAGAAAGATCCTAAAACTCCTAGAAAATGTAAGGGATATTACAATTAACAACAGGCTAGAATGGTTAATGACCTTGCCAAAATTGAGGTTTGTTGAAAATAAAAAGAGAAGCTTCTAACCTGGCGAGGCTGTGGAAGTTTCTAATCAGTGAATGGACTCATAAAGTAAATAATGGTAACTAAACTATGCTATTCAGAACACTTATTTTCAACAAGCAAGTTTCCTACTGAATGTGGTACTCCTTTTGGGACCACTCAGCACTGGCTAGGGAACACTTATTTTTGACAAGCAAGTTTCCTACTAAATATGGTACTCCTTTTGGGACCACTCAGCATTGACTAGGGAACACTTATTTTCAACAAGCAAGTTTCTTTCTAAATGTTGTACTCCTTTTTGGACCACTCAGCATTGGCTAGGGAACACTTATTTTCAACAAGCAAGTTTCTTTCTAAATGTTGTACTCCTTTTTGGACCACTCAGCATTGGCTAGGGAACACTTATTTTCAACAAGCAAGTTTCTTTCTAAATGTTGTACTCCTTTTGGGACCACTCAGCATTGGCTAGGGAACACTTATTTTCAACAAACAAGTTTCCTACTAAATGTGGTACTCCTTTTTGGACCACTCAGCATTGGCTAGGGAATACTTATTTTCAACAAACAAGTTTCCTACTAAATATGGTACTCCTTTTGGGACCGCTCAGCATTGGCTAGGGAACACTTATTTTCAACAAGCAAGTTTCCTACTAAATGTGGTACTCCTTTTGGGACCAATCAGCATTGGCTAGGGAACACTTATTTTCGACAAGCAAGTTTCCTACTAAATGTGGTACTCTTTTAGGGACCACTCAGCATTGGCTAGACCAGCCACTACTTGGTTCTCAGATATATAAAGTTGTTAAAATATGATTTTCTAAGACCTCTTACATTCCACAAACAACTAAAAACACAAGATGACAAACAAACATAGAAAGATAATCAAACTGATAAAATGAAGACTTCAAAACATTACAAAACCCCAGTATCAGAAGGAAGGAATAATCCTTGAGGCTTGTTGTAGGAAGAATGAAAATACCCACAGTGTTGATGGCCTATTGTGCAGCTTTGTGCTTAACAAGCAAAACAGAAGTTTTAACTAAACTTCATTAACACTGGCAATGGATTCATGATGGGGAAACCGAAGTTTAATAACGAAGATGAAGACGGTTGATAAAACATTTTATTTACAAGGTTTTAATGTTTCGGAATAACTTATTCCATTGTCAGCGAAATCTGAAAATTGTGTTATAAAGATGATTATTATTACTAAAATTATAATATAATAACATAATCACTAGTTTAGTAAGTTATTAAGAAAAATGGACAGATGAAACAATGTTTATATATATATATATATTACACAACAGTTGAGTTAAGTGTGAACATTTAGAAACATTTTAGATCTAAAGAGCTTTGTGAATCCTTAAGATCTAAAATTGTTCTACATTTTCACACTTAATAAGATACCTAAACGGAATGTATGACAACTGCATGCCGACCGTGCCCGCATCGCTAGAGTGATGAGTAGTAACCCTAACTACTCTGTAAGTATGCTTGACTCAGATAACTTAGGAGAGAGTGAAAGCGAGTCAAGTGGTGTTCAAATGTGTGATGATGAAGAGGCAATGAGACAAGAGGATGCTAGCTCTCCATCTAGTGATGATAGTCAAGATGATGATCCTGGACCAAGCAGAGGGAGATGTAAACAGCGTTGACAATGGGAAACATTTGTCCCAGTCACAGTGTTAGGTTAGGTTAGGGTTAGTGTGAGGGGGTGGAAGCATTGGGAAATATATACGTCCCAGCTGCAATGAATGGGTTAAAGACCAATTTTCTTTCCTTAGTAACTAGTTTCCAATTACAGATCTCTGCTCATTTTTGCATCTCAATGCATATTGGCATCATTAATATATATGCAAAAGTTGCAAGCTATTTCAGTAAAATAAACAAATCTGATATAACTTAAAGTTATATTTATATATTTTGAAATGTAACAGAAAGTGGGAGGTACAATGGCACTAATAAAAGCAGAAACAACTCGTTCATGTGATAAACTGTGGACAACTTTATTACAATGGCACCCACCCACTAATAAAAGCAGTAACAACTCGTTCTTGTGATAAACTATGGACAACTTTATTACAAATTAACATGAATTTTTTAATGCTTTATTCTAAATATTTCTCCTACTGGGTTCGATTTATCTTGTTATTCAGAGTTTTATAGGCTTTGGGCAGATAATATAACCAAGTGCTGGGCCTCAATAAGAAATAAATTTGAGGTCCATCACTCTAGTGAATGCCATTCTCTTTCTCTAACAAATGTGTGAAGCTACTGAAGCACAGCGAAAGCTAAAAGGTTCTGTAAAGTGCTACGAGAAAGAACCAAACATGTAAAACGTCAAGTTACAAGAAAGAAACAAACAAAGCAACAGCTGCTGTGAAGAAACACCCACGTTTCAGATATTAATGGAGTACGTTACTTTCAATTTCAAGCCTTTTACTATCCCACGACACTTCATCCCCTAACATAATCCTTGAGTGAATTTATGCAAAGCTACACGATGGTTATCGGTGCTACCTATCCCTAATGTTGAAGTGATAAACCTAGAGGGAAGGTGGCTAGCCTTCACTACCAACTCTTGGGATACTCTTGTCAGACTGAATAGTTGGATTTGAATGTCTCTCTTATAATGCAACCATGACCTCAAAGTGCAAAGAGCATTTTTTAGTAGTAACGGGAAATGAACCATAGAATCTTAACTCAAGAGTTTGGTATGCTAATCAAGTGTTTGTTGAATTTTGCAAATATCTACTCAAGGGCTATCTGCAGTAACCATCCCTAATTTAGAATAGACTATTCTAAATTTGGTTTAGAAGTGTGATATAACATTTTTAAACTTTTTTTTTCATTATATTTCAATGTCTTGCAGCCTGTTTTACTGTGTGTTTTATCCCTAATTTAGAAGTGATAAACTAAAGGAAGACAGCAAGTCAACACCAACACCACCACCAACTCTTGGGCTACTCTTCACTAATGAACAGTGGGATTAACTGTCACATTATAACACCTCCATAACCAAAAGGGTGATGATATTCAGTACTAGGTTTATATCCTGCGACCTACAGATTGCCAGTAGAGCACCCTAACAACCAGGCCACATCAAGACTTGGAATGAGTGAATTTTTTTTCTTTTAATTGTGTGTGTAGGAAAGAAACCTAGAAGTACCTTGAAGAAAAAAAACTAATAGTGACAATACTATGAGAAGGTTTATAGAAACAAAAATCCATACTAATATTTAGTGATACTAAATAGTTTCGATTAGTTATCAAATAAAAAAACAACCCTGCCATACAGACATTTTAATAAAATATTTTATTCATATAATAGTTATAGTGCAAATAGCTTTTCAGATTTTCTCTCAATCAAATTAACATGTTCACCATAATGAAGTAAGTTTAATTCTAGCATTAAAATTGAAAGGTTACAAATGGTCATATTTCAGTGTAACTAGAAGTTTTTAACCTAATGTTATCATTAAACTTCAGTTAATTTGTTGAATTCAATGAAGAAATGCAAGGATTACTTAGCCAGCAAAAAACAAAGTGTCTTTTTTTGATACAGTATCAAGATTCGTTCAAAACAAAAGCTATAATTTCTCCAATATTTGATTATTTTCAGAAAATGTAAGATCAAATGAAAGACAATTACTACAAAGTTTAACATTAATATATTGTAATTACAAAGTCATATTTTCAAAAAAATACAAATAAATATGATGCCAAATCTATTGTTCGATTTCCCCAAAACTAGTACAAGTGATAAATGGTGATCAAGTGACAGACTAGCCTGCATATCTATTTTATTATTTAAAACAGCTTGTCAACTAACTAATTCCAAAGAATATGTAAATAGTATCAATTTTACCTATTCTTCAAAATCTTATATAAATGTAGGATCATTATGGTGAGCCAAAGATGACTCAAAACACGATATTTATAAAATCTATATTCTGTTTCAAATGTTCTGATGCAAATAAATTACTTTTAACAAATTGTAGAATTGAACTGAAGAAACATGTTTATAAGATTGAACAAAACAAGATATTACACGTCACTGATTGAATACATAATGTAATAACATAGTTATTGTTTTGTAAGATACTCTAACAAAAGAGCCTTAACAAAATGTCGTATTATTATTATTATAATATATTATTTTATACTTTCTAAGAGTCAAGTTTCTGCCAATGAGTTTAACTCCTGTATCTTCTTGTTCTTTATGTAACTATATACAAGGAGATTCAGCATCCACTTGCAGGAAAATTATTCAGAAATGGAGAGGTTTAGAAAAATAATTATTTCTGCAATGGAATAAAGCATTCTGGGATTACCTGCTGACAGGATCATTGAGGTCATCTTCATTTCCAAATTATTTCCTTGTCAATGGACTTTTGGGTCACCCAGTATGCTATTTATATTCTTTTTTCGTGTTATAATAGTAAGTTGTAACAAAATAATCAACAGAAAACTATTTCACATTCATATTTTTGAGTCCTTTTTAACTCATCTTATAATAACTTAAAATCTATTTAAGTGTGTGAATAAAGTCATTGCATTGCATAAATATTATATAACATCATCATTATAAAAGGCCTAACTGCATTTTTTTGGTTTACATTACTGACCAAAGCTTTACTGATTAGCCTTCAATAAGTGAAACTACAGTCTGCAGTAGAGGGTTTGGCTAATCGAAGAATACAGTAGGCCTTTATGTTAAATTATTTTTTCAATTTTATCATCGGTGAAGAGAACTACATAATTTAACCATTAAACGGTTGGTCCACTGTATAATATTGAATAATACATTAGATGCAATGTCATAATATTATTTTCTAAATTAACTTAGATTACTATATGGTGAACTAAAAAGGATTCTGCAAATCTGCAAAATCATGAAAGTAAATTTAGGGTTAACTGCAACCAGGAGTGTTCAGAAAACTTTTTTCTTTGCCCCCACTCATGATATAGGTAATTTGGAATGGCTGCGTGAAAAAAACAACAAACTGATATATGGTTTGAAGAGCCTGTTGCAAAAAAAATAATAATAATAAAAACAAATTGTGGTTAGAATGATTTATTTTTAAAAAGGACTCAAAAATCCCATAAATATTATTTACACATTACCAATATAAAATGCCTAACTATATTTTTTGGGGTTTTCCGTCCCAAGCTGTGCTGTTGAGCTTTGAATAGGCAAAACTGTAATCCACAGCAAAAGGTCTGGCCAATCAAAGAATGCATTAGGCTTCTACATTACCAATCATGTTTTCAATTTTACCTCTGGTCAAGAGACAAATCTGTAATAAAATTATTTTTACAGTAAAAAGTTTAAGATTATATTGTAATTTGAAACTTAGAATTTTTCAGCAACAGCCTATTCATGTTATTTTTATATCAGAATACGCTAAACTCTTTAAATAATTTGATTTCCACTACTATTTTTATTGACTTGGACAGCAAGAATTATGGGAAAAAGCACACTAACGGTGGTTTCAGAAAGAATGCTGGTGGATTGCCTTGGCTTTGATTAAAAAATAAATAAAATAAAGATACACTGTACGTAGCTCAGAACGCTATGTAGTACAATTAACAACCACAAAGTTTTGATAGAAAACTGCTCTAACTTCAGCATTACAAATTAGTTACGAATCTTTTGATTAGTTAACTGTAGATATAAGCATATCACACATTAATGAAATCAGGCAACAAAAATGGCTTAAAAATAATCACAAAACTTTGAGGAAATAACACTTTTAAGTCAGTAGCATAGCTAGATACAGAACTGTTGGTGGGTTTGGAGTTATGATAGATGGAGAAGAGGTGTACAAACCCGTGAAGATAAGTTAAGGGATTCTGATTTTAGTAGGTCTGGGTCCTGATCAGGCTCACCTGTGACTACACCACTGCTTTATATGTTATAATATTTTTTTTAATAGTTTTCACCATTGGTTATGTACAATTATAAACAAGGTAGTTCAGAACTAAGCATCCATTTTTTTCTTTTATGCATATACAACACAATGATACTGATTGTAATCTTTAATTACAGATTGTGTAACAAGTAAGGGAGTTCTGTTTTTTTATATATTCTAACAATATCTACATTCAAACTCCTCTGGTTATTAAAGACTAAAAAATATGGACACCTTTCCTTTATGTTCTACCGTCACTAGACGAACCAGGTCTCCTCTTCTGAACAGAGCAAATAGGACATGAATCCTAGGGTAAAATTAAAACATGTAAATACTTTAACACTAATATAACTACAATCCTTTCTTCTATGGTATTTAATACTGAAAAACCTACAGCAAATATCTGACTCATTTGATAAACGAAATGGTAGCCATTTGAGACTTCCACTGATTCTTTATTTTTTTGGGTAAAGCAACAGAAGGATTAATTATACACAGCCATCCCACCTTCAACTCTTGGACTACCTTTGTTAGATTGAATAGTGGGATTTGACTGCCACTCTTATAGCAACCCATGGCTCCAAAGTGTGAAGTGTTTTGGCAGCAATGGGTCACAAACCATGAATTCTCAGAATCAAAGTCTAGGCCCGCTAACTGCAAAGATATGCATGGCCTAAAAAAAATGTATCTAATTAAGTTGTAAGGCTTAGTCTCTAAAAATACAGTCACAAGAAATTCTAGAGATATAGAAACTATACATTATTATATATAATGATGATGTTCTCTGTAAAAGTTTTCCATGAACAAATTTATTAGCAATTATTGCAGGAACTTATTTTATCTTTCACTAGAACATTCCCTCTATAGGAATAATTTCAGAAGACACTTCAAACGTCTTACTTACATTCACAAGAACAGCAGTAAGAGATAAATAAATACATTTTGGAGTGAACTTTATCAATGACACAATTACCATAAACCAGTGATGTAGGCTACACTACCTATCACGTAACTGTAACTAATTACACCAGGTTGTTATGTAGCTGTAACTAATTACACCACGTTGTTATGTAACTGTAACTAATTATACCAGGTTGTTATGTAACTGTAACTAATTATACCTGGTTGTTATGTAACTGTAACTAATTAAACCAGGTTGTTATGTAGCTGTAACTAATTATACCAGGTTGTTATGTAACTGTAACTAATTACACCAGGTTGTTATGTAACTGTAACTAATTATACCAGGTTGTTATGTAGCTGTAACTAATTATACCAGGTTGTTATGTAACTGTAACTAATTATACCAGGTTGTTATGTAACTGTAACTAATTACACCAGGTTGTTATGTAACTGTAACTAATTACACCAGGTTGTTATGTAACTGTAACTAATTAAACCAGGTTGTTATGTAGCTGTAACTAATTATTCCAGGTTGTTATGTAACTGTAACTAATTATTCACATAACAATCTGATTCAATTAATTACAATTACATGACGATCTGATTCAAGTAGTTACAGTTACATAACAACGTGGTATGATTAGTTCCAGTCACATAATAACCTGGTTTAATTAATCACAGTTACATAAAAACCCAGTTTAATTAATCACAGTTACATAAAAACCTAGTTTAATTAGTTACAGTTACATAACAACCTGGTGTAATTAGTTACAGTTACATAACAACCTGGTGTAATTAGTTACAGTTACATAACAACCTGGTATAATTATTTACAGTTACATAACAACCTGGTATAATTAGTTGCAGTTACATAACAACCTGGTATAATTATTTACAGTTACATAACAACCTGATATGATTAGTTACAGTTACATAACAACCTGGTATATAATTAATTGAATCAGGTTATTACACAACTAACTGAGTCAGGTGTCATGTAAACAACTAATTAAACCAGGTTGTTATGTAACTGTGATTAATTAAACTGGGTTTTTATGTAACTGTGATTAATTAAACCAGGTTATTATGTGACTGGAACTAATCATACCACGTTGTTATGTAACTGTAACTAATTATACCAGGTTGTTATATAACTGTAACTAATTACACCAGGTTGTTATGTGACTGGAACTAATCATACCACGTTGTTATGTAACTGTAACTAATTGAATCAGATCGTCATGTAATTGTAATTAATTGAATCAGATTGTTATGTGAATATAATTAATTAAATCAGGTTATTACACAACTAACTGAGTCAGGTGTCATGTAAACAACTAATTACACCAGGTTGTTATATGACTGGAACTAATCATACCACGTTGTTATGTAACTGTAACTAATTGAATCAGATCGTCATGTAATTGTAATTAATTGAATCAGATTGTTATGTGAATATAATTAATTAAATCAGGTTATTACACAACTAACTGAGTCAGGTGTCATGTAAACAACTAATTACACCAGGTTGTTATATGACTGGAACTAATCATACCACGTTGTTATGTAACTGTAACTAATTA